CCTACGGGCGCGGGCAGGCAGCGGGGCCGCCGCGCGGGCAGGTGGCGCACGCCGGGCCGGCCGCGGCCCGGGAGCGGCGCGGGAGGTGCTCCTCACCGGGGAGGCGGGGCCGGGGCCCGGAGCCGGGAGACCACGGACACAGAACGCGAAAGAAAAGCCTCGCCTTTCGGCTGTGCAGTCTCTACATAAATCTCCCACATGCACTTAGAAATAAGGCTTTTGGTTAAACACCAAATGTTAAGGGCTTTTCTAAAAGGCTGAATTCAGCGAGCGCCTCTGGGAGAGATGCACACGGTGCGATGGTGACCCCCCATGATCAGAGTGACCCTCGCCCCAACTCCTCCTTACAGTAAACGAGGAATGTTTGCTCCTGGAAATTGTCACTGAAGGCACTGAATATCAATGAACAAATCACACGTAGTTACACAAAGTCATGAGCTGCAGCAATTCTCTGGTGCCATCAGTTTGATTTACAGAGGAAACGGCATCTAGAATTACTGTTGAAAGTTAGTGACAAGAAATGTTCCCGTACTGCCCTTAGATGGGGTGGTAATTTTTAAACAGAAACAACCGGAAAAATTCTCAGTAAACCAAAAAAATTCAGAATGCTCAACCCCAAACTAGTAGAAGTTAGTTTTAACCCAAATGTAATCAGAAGCATTAGTCATTTAATTAGAGCAGAAAAAGTAAAAGCATAAAAACCACACTGAAAATATTTCCCCCTTGCGCTTCTGGTTTGGCCCCTCTTAGAAAAAACTGCACTATGAACAACAAAACAGCATTATATGAGATAAGTCTGGCATTACTGGATCTTTAAACCAGGAATACTGCTGACTAGTGAAAGCCACATTAAGAAGAGGCTTCTCACCTCACATGGGCAGTCGCAGAGGTCACTGGGACAAAGGTACGGATCACAGCGACATGAAGGGACATGAAAGAGAAAGCCAAGAAATTATTGCTTTACCTCTCCTCCCTAAGGAACAAAACATTAAAAAGTCACAATCTCTTTGACTTTTTGTTCTCTTTGACTATCTCTTGACATACAGTTAATAGGGATATGTCAGAGTCCCAAGTACTTCAGTATCTGATGAAGAGTACTTTCCTTCAAACCAAGTTATCAAAATTAACAGCATAATAATAATTACTTAAAACTTCTGATGAAAGCTCCCTCAATAAGACTCAACATGTGCAACTGGAATGAAAAGCTAAAACCTCTTCAAATATTCAAAAATTAAGAAGCCTTAAGAAAAAACGCATCTAGATATGCTTTGTGCTTTTACAGTATCAATAGAAGCAGGGCCTGCCTCACTGCAAGATTAAGCAAAACTTCAAAAAGAAAATGGAAGCAGGTTATTTTTTTCTTTCATAAGCTCCTGATGTAACAAATACATACCCTTTTGATTGCATGGAAGTGACCATGTAAAGTTGATTTCTTCTTGCAGATCTTAAATTCTGTTTAATATGTTAACAAAGAACTTAGATGTGTCAAAAAAGATAACCTGAACTAACTTGCCAAGTGTCAATGCATACATTATCTTAATCATAGAGAGCAGGTATTAAAATTGCCTGATTTGTGAGAGGCTTATGAAATACAAATCTTTTATTATTGTTCTGTTTGTAAGTAATAAAAGTAATGCAATACAAGAGGCAATGTGCTTTGATATGTGCAGAGCATGTCCATACATGACTTACCTGTCATTAGTTTATATTGTTCTATCATAAATAATATCATTCCCTCACAGGCACTCTATCTATCCAAAACCTCTGTCACCCTCAGAGAAAAATCTTTTTGTCAATATGCACAAAAGCCCCAAGTTCATCTTAGCACAAGCAAGAAACATTCAATTTGAAGAGAAAATACATGGACACTTTGCTGGTAACAAGCCTGCATAACCCATACCAGCACCTTGTGTCCTCCTGTATGGGTGAGAGCATGTGGGTGCCATGTCACTGCTCAGAGATGGAGCTGGCACACCTGGGGTTGCATACCAAGTGCCTCAGCAACCACGTCCTGTACTTCTGCATCTTCTCTGCTGAAATCCTCAGTTTCTTTGCTCTCCGGAAAGTATGGCTGGTCTTATTTTTTACTGGGTTATCAAACCAAATGAAGGAGTAGAGGCACTCCAGGGACCTGTACAATGCTGTAGCAAAGGAAAGAGTTATTAAGTAAAACCAATCAAATGGCAGAACATCAGGGTTCAGAAGATCCTACACCACTAGCAGGGACAGCAAAACTCCTTTCATCAGTAATTTATATTGAGTATTTCTAAGCAATGTCATCACACTCAGCATGCTTCAGTCAGCAAGAAATACACTTTATAGGATGATGCCAAACAAGAGACCGTGAAAGATGGAACTGCTACCAACTCAGCAGGCCTAATTCCCAGAAAGAAAACATGCTCATGTCTTGGTATTCTCTAGGACCAGATTATTAAACAAAATTTCCAAATTAACTGTATTTTAAATAGTTAACTTAAGCTTTTTTAAAAAATCAAGTATTCTCAGGTGCATTTCTGTTGTGTGACTGATACATTGGAGCATCTTCATTCACCCAAGGCTTCCAGTATGAATCAAACTTGCCACTGACACTGCTAACAGGATTGTAGACACTGAAATCTTGTAGAGTAAGACACAAAATTTGTAATGCATGGGTTTTATCTTCTCTTCCTCAGCTCTCTTTTTGGTCAAGGTGCATCTATCCTCCTCCTGCCTCCTCAAACTCTAAGTTACCATTTTACCCACTTACTTAGCTCTACTTTTTTAACAAGTTTTAACATTAGGAAAGCACTGACCTGGGGCCTTTCACCAGTTTGCACATAAATAGGAAAGAGCCCACTAATTCCTGTTGCTCCACTGGCTGGTACAGCCACATCCATCATTCATTAAGACTCACTTGAAAACTTAACAGATGGACCAAAAGGGAACTGATGATCTTTACGCAAATGTTGCTACAACAATTTACCATATGACCCTTTCTCATCAGCTCCTCCTGTACTCCTGCCAGAAGTTACCACTCTCCTCGAAGTCAACAGACAGAACCACATGCAATGACATCACCTGATGAATCATGTTAAATGTGTGGGTAATTTGAGCTTTAGGCAGCCATGGGATGTTTCCTAAGGAGTTCCATTCTTGCTAAATCATCCCACCCTCACACTACAAACTGTACCAACCCAGCTGTTCTTGATGCCTATGATGAGCTATTATGAAAAATAACACAGGGGAGAGTGCCAATCAGATTAATTCCATGATAAGGTTTCTAATGTGGCAACGCAGTTTGGCATGACCTAGAAGGAGCAAGTAGTTGGAGACTGGTTAATGCAGGATTATCACTGGAGAATTGCACATGAAATCTGTGCCCACATGCATGAGGTTTTGCACTGTGACTGAGGCACAAGAAGTCCTTCCAGTTCTGCAACACAAGTAAACTTTGATAGGAAATGAGGTGGACTTTAGGACAATCAAGTTGTAAGCCAAGAATTTATCTACCAAAGCAGGTGAAGTGAAAACTAGTGTACTTCACTCTGTTAATGTTTCATTATTTCCCCATTGTTTTCACTTGTCTTAAGGAGTATCTGCATTTGGAGAAGAGCAATGTGTATTAAGATAATGTCCATAACTATGAATAATTTTAAGAAAATGAGTGACTGTGTTCCTGCATATATTTATATATATGTATGTCTGTGTGCATGTGTGTACATATATACAATGAATGGTCATTTGTACCTAGAAAATTCAGGGCTGAATAGCACTTTAAAAGAACACTTATTTCAAGTCTAGAAATTAACAAAAAAATATTAAAAAGACAGAAAAATGGCCATCAATGAGGCTTAATTAGAACAAGAGAATGGATATACTAGAAGCTGAAGGGAAGAAAAAGCACTTAAGAACTATCGTTTCAGTAAGACCTAACCATTAAAAATAACTGCAATTACACAAAATACAAGACTAAGTGTGATTATCAACTTCCATAAAGCACTGCCAATGCACTGATGTTTTACAAACCAAGTTTTACCAGAAAAAAATAGTTTTAATGAAAAATGTTTTTTCTGTCTGTTCAAATAATAGGAATCAGGTTTACTATATGCACTTGATGACATTGTGACTATTCCTTTGATTTGTATTGTATTTCAAAGCAGAAATTAAACAGGAAATTTGTAAATGATAGAAAAATAAGAGTAAATATTCACTCAAAAATTGACAGCAATAAGGAACTGTTCTTGGAATCATGGATTCTTTTAATAAAGATCAGCTACTTACCTCATGATATCAGATTCTTCAAAACACTTATCAGTTACAGTCTCAATATTCAAGAGTCCTCATGCACCTGAATTTGAATTCTTTTGGCCAAGAGTGTGTATTCATACTGCCCTTATGCCCTTGATGTCACTGTGTCCCCTTTCCAGATACAGAAAGAGAAGAACATAACTGTCTCTCAGTAGTAAGGAAGGCTGATTATGGAATACATAAGGAGATCACATTGCAAACAGAATTAAAAAGCATCCTTACTGTAAGTAACAATTACTTCTTTGAGAACAAAAGTCCTGTAATTTTTGAATGGGAGCATCCATGCAAAAACTGATATATTTTCAAGTTATCCCTTCATTTAATTTGCTTGAGTTTTCTTTAGTGCTATATATTGAGATGGCAGAACTCACCATGTAGGCTAACAGAGTTCATTGACTAATCATTTGAAGACAGTTTATGAAACGCAAGATTTTATCTTGGTGTCTTTAAGTTGAGCAATATGACCTGAGTGTTTACACCAACCAGACTTGTTCTATACAGAAATACCAAGTTGCATACACGGTTACACAAAGTTGCAGCAGCTGACTATGCTAAGAGTGTACGCCATTCTTTATGCTGGTTGCTTTAAACAAGCTAATTCACACTAAAATGTGTAAGAAAGACATTAGCACTCTCCTTCTCAGCCACCAGCTGGTTCTCCACCTTGTTAACAATCACTAGGACTGAGATTACTGGAAAATAATCTTCTTGACTTTTATATGGGGTTGGGTTTTTTTAATCTAATTGGTGACACGGCCAAAGAATTTTTGGAAGATCAGTATCACGTTAAATGCTTTTAACTGCAAGGTAATCAACAGCCTTTTGAAAAACCAACTTTGTATTTTGGTCGCAGTTACAGTTGAAAGCCATCAAGAAACAGTCAGGAGGGCAGGTGCTGCATCTGAGAACCACAGAAACTGAGTTTCAAGAGATTTAATTAATATCATAAACTTCTGGGTTGAAGCATACACAAGTTCCCATGTAGTATTTGGAAATAAAACAGTGAAAATAGGTAATGTTTCTTGTTTCAATATTTAATCCAAGCAGACACAGACACAGTTTATAAAATTACTCTATTGCATTAGAGTTCTATATAGCATTTAAGTTTTATGAATGTTTTTCCTTCAGTGTAGCATATATTCATATTCCAAAATATCTTTGCACAGTCTCTGTGCAACTACATGCTAAAAATCTGCAAATGCACACTTAACACTAAACAGCACAAAAAATACATTCTGTATCCATTCATATGCAAATTTAAAACATTTCACTTGGCAGATAAACAATGAAAAGTTATTTTAAAAAAATCAGAAACTACAAAAATGCGCACATAAAAGTCTTCCCTTTTGGATTTTTAGTAAAATACTGCTCTGTATAAGATCTAATGAAAAACTCCAGTGCTTAGAAAATACTTTATATCTATGGGAAAAAGAAATGCTTAAATTTATATCTGTATGAGTTAAACATAATGACCTTGTTAAAATATAAAAAGGAAATCCAAGGGGACATTGCAAAGATCAATGCAGATGTCACATCTACCAGGACATGTAAAACTGTAATTAACTGGGCACCAGGCAGTCACTTTCATAGAATAGAAAAACTAAAAATGAGGGACTAACACAATATGCAGCAGCTACAGAATAAAGGGTTTAACCACTGAA